TGAAAACATCAAAGCAGTTACATCCGTTCTAATCTTGACAGCTGAAAGTCCACAGATACTTTAGAGCTGCGAACACAAAACTCGCTTTTGAACAGGAAGATTTGATCCATGTGGCCAAGTACTTTCAGTGGCTTATGTAACACTGAACTGGTTTTGTGCAGAAATAATACAGTATAATGACGCTTTTTTTTTTTTAACCTAGCAAATTCCAGAGAATGGTCATATCCTAGAGCTGAAAAAGGCTGCCTTCCCAACATACTGGTTATTGGCTCTGCTTCATCCCTGGCTACCCTCACGTCTCTAAAACCCCGGTGTGCTTCCCAAAGGTCATGAAGTGTGAGCACTTGACTCCTGGTGACCTGTGTGGGCCGTTGGAAGGGGTTTTCCTTAAACCTTCTCCCTCTCGAGCTAGACCTGGTCTATAAACTATACATCCCAGCATGTGTGATTCCTACATTACAAAGTGCAGGCAGAACTCTGTCCTTGCTTAGAAGGCTAGAAGGTCCAGTCACCACACGGGGTAGGCCTGGCAGGCGGGCACCAGCGTGGCCATGCACGAGCAGATGGTACCAGTGATGGGAGCTCCTGCCAGCTGTGGGCTGGCCCTCCTAGCCACCTCCAAATAATGTTCCCCCAACAAGGTTCTTAAAGAGAATCTTCTGAAAGTAGACTTTTCACTAGCGAAGGAAGAGGAGCCTAAAAGGCCAAGGGGCATCTGAACTCACCTAGTGGTTGGGAGAGAATTGGAAGAGAATTGGGAGTCATCCAGCCTCTTCTAACTGCTAGAGTGGTGAGTGGGAAGGGCAGTCTCTTACATGTATGTAATCATTCTGTGAAGCAGATAGGGTAGCTTCATTACGTATTCAAATGCAGAGAACTCTTCATAAAACATGCTACTGTGTCCTTTTACTGTGAATGGAAATACAGCCTTCACATTGAAGAGGAGTAAAGGATAAATCAAAACGTTATTCAGCTCTGAATGTGCCAGTCCGGAACTCTTACTCAATGATTTCCTTGCAGCAGAAACCATCACTGCAGCTCAGACCAAAGATGATTTGGCCCAGTTCTTCTCTGTTGCTATGGGGACAGAGAGATGATGACTTTAGCCTTTTTGATGCTAACTTGCCTATGTTAAGAGTCAGTTCCCTTCATGTCTTCATGTTTCTGTTATTGATAAAGTAAGCCCAGCCTTTTCTGAACTACTGTTTGTTTTCTGTCTTATTTCCCCTTTGGTGTAATGAATTCCATACTCAGAATAAAACATTTCTTGAGCACTTGGTATATGCCAAGCACTGTGGGAGGTGCTTTCATATATGTTAGCCATACCTTTATTCCTCTATGAGGTAAAAGAGAGAATATAAACATCAGTGATTCACTTTTTCAGTTGAAGTTTACAGAGGTGTTTTGTACTGCAAATGTGAGGAAGGGAGGCTAGGAAGGAAATGGGAGGTGGCGAGTCATTTCTTTAGAAATGTTAATAGGGAAATGAGGACCAGTGAACTGTAAGTCTTCGTTTCCCACTTTTTCCAGGGAATCAGATAGAGGCGAGGGCCAGTTGCTTATCATGGTAAATGTACTAAAATGTGAAAATGAGACATGGAATATTAAATATTAATATGAATATTAAGCATTAAGACCAGCCACTTTCTTACAGCCATGGGCTTGTAAATAGTTGGCTGAGACTGATGGGTGTGTGTCAGATGTTTGTCCCTGATGAAGGTGAGAGAATAGGAATTGGAACCAGGGTCCAGTTTCTGCAGATGCTCAGTCCTGAGTGAATCTCATCATCTCTTGTCGGCTTGATGCATGAGAAATGCAGGTCCTCTGAAAAGTCGTTTCCAACCAACTACATCCTCTTTCTTATATCGGTATGTTTCCTTCCAAAGACAGGTTTAGAAATCCTGTCCCTTCTCTGGTTTATCCCTTAGGCTCAAGGACACTTGTTTGAGGACCCTTCCATTTTTAATGTCATCTTAAGCGTTAGTTAAGGAATGTGTCTGTGACTTACAGATTTGGTGGAATTTGTAACATGTCCTCCTTAGGAGAACCTGAGATTTTAGAGCAACAGATGTCGTAGTAAATTTGGAACTTTCCGTATGGCAACCCACTCCAGTATTCTTGCCTGGAAAATTCCATGGACAGAGAAGCCTGGCGGGCTATTGTTCATGAGGTCACTAAGAGTCAGACAGGACTGAGTGATTGAGGACACATATGTTTTTAAGAGGGAAACTGAGTCTCTACTCTGATAATGATACAGTTGGGAAAAGACTAACTCAGCCTTTGCAGGTACTTATGCACTATGATTTATCTGGGTTAATTTATGTAAAATAAGGAAGTAATGGAATTAAATACATAATCTCTACATATCACTTAGACTTACGGTATTTTATTTCTAAACTTCCCCAAATTTGCCCTTTTCTGTCTCTTGTAAAGATGCTTAAGAGAGCAAAACTTCTGAAGGTCAGAAGAAGGGGAAGGGGCAAGGCTGTGTGTCATGGTAGGCTGTCCTTGGTAGGCAGGTTACAGCCTCTCTAAGGTTTGGTAAACTGGGAACGAGCATTGCTGTAAAAGATTAACCACAGGCAGGCAGTCTGCTCTTACTCTCTTAAAGAGAATAAGCAACACCAGATCTAAGGCCTGGGGGGAGAACCCTTTTGAGTAGAGCAGACTCTCCTCCATTTTCACCTGAGGATTGAGCTTCCTGGCTCAGCCTCCTCATCAGAGCACAGCTTGATTGCCAAAGGAGGTGTGAAAGCTGTGGGACACTTGGTCTGGATTGGTTAGGGACTGTGCCCTCTAAATCACACTATTTTATATATCTGAGAAATGAGAAAGATGGAGGCTTCTTGCTTAAGACCAGGGCCTGCTGCTCCTCAGCTTCCGGTGCAGAAGGAGTTGTTGTCTCTCAGATAGCACAGACCCGCGGTGGGAGAAGGGGCCTCAGCCTGACCTTTGGAAAACAGAGGGAAGTTAAGCGTGGACATACAGACAGAGGCTCTGACCCACCGCTGGGTGATGGGAGTCCCACGGAAGTCACTCCTTTCTTCCTGCCTCACTGGAAGTGGTCATCATCCAGACATGTCAGGATGTTCCAAGTAAGAGATAAGTTAAGAACATCCCTAGAGTGTGCACTGTGGGCTCAAAGAGGTTTGGGCTGTAAGACAGCCACTTCTAGGAAGCAGTTTGGGAAACATCAGAAAGAGAAGTTGCCTGAGATCTGAAGTAGGCTTGTGATGGTGACTGGCTAAGATACCTTTTCATGAACATGGATGCTCCGACCACACATGAAATGAGGGGACACAGAAGAAATGGAAGGCTTGAGACAATAGTAAGGGTAGCTGTTTGGGGACTTGCACATAGCAGAGAGTGAATTAAAGCATCAGTTCCACACACAGGGTCTAAGGCTCTTAGGGGTTCCTGGCATAGTAATGGAGAAATATGAGCTAACTTCAATATTATGAAAAGCATAAATGAATCACCCATTTACCTTCAACAAGGCCTTACAGGCTATCAAAACAATGGACTCTGCTTTTGTCTATAATTGAATTGGTTTGCTGATGAGAAGCTCTGCTTGACTGCCGATGTTACTTTGTTTTGTGTTTCTTCCCAACGTGATGGGTGAACTGATGGTATCAGTAGGTAGTCACAACTGACCTGAAGTCAGATTATCCAAGATGTGATTAATCTTTGACTCAAGGTGTACAGTGACAGCCACAGTTAAATACTCCACAGTCTGTGGTGGCAGAATGGTTGGGGACCACTTTTGTAAAAGGAGCAGTGACCTTCAGTTTCCCATCCTGAGTTCTTACACCGTGCACATTGAACTCATTCTTGGTCTTTGAAGGAAAGTGAAAGCAGAATGATTACCAGTTATAATCTGTTGTCTACTTTGGAGACCATGCCCTGAAAATCTTGCGTCTGGTTGTTCCTCATAGCCTGTATGGGCCACTTAAGACTCCTTCCAGGAGCAGGCTCTTCTCTCCTGTCTCCTGCTGTCCTGAAGCTCCAATAACTTTGGCCATCTGATACAAAGAGCTGACTCAATGGAAAAGACCCTGATGATGGGAAAGATTGAAGGCAGGAAGAGTAGGGGGTGACAGAAGATGAGATGGTTGGATGGCATCACCGACTCAATGGACATGAGTTTAAGCAAACTCTGGGAGATGATGCAGGACAGGGAAGCCTGGAGTGCAGCAGTCCATGGGGTCACAGAGAGTCGGACATGACTTGGCAACTAGACAGCAACTACCACTTGCTGTCCTAGCTAAGCAGTAGAATACCAAGAGCTAGGGTTAAGCGCAATGCTTGGGCAGTTAGAGGAAGAGGTTAAATAGCAAGAAAAAGAAAGAATGAAAAGAAAAGAAAGAAAGAAAGTAGCAAAGGAATGGACCCAGTGAGCCATGTCTTTAGAGCAAGGCTGGGAAGCTGACCTCAGATATGGTTGGCTGCCAGTGATGTTCCAAAGGATCTGGATTCTGGTCCTCAGCTGATTCTGCTGTTTAGACCATGGCTTCTCAATCCTGTATCTTCACAGCCCTTGGTCTGCAGGAACACCAGGGAAACCCACCATTTCTAGCAGGAAAAAGAAAATGACAGCTGAGTTACTCTTAGTGTGATGAACCCATGAAACATTTGATCAGGGTTGCCAAAAGAATTCTGAACCATGTCAACCACTGTTGTCAAACTTGAGAGGTAGAATTGGGCTAAGTCCAGAATTGGAATTTTTGCTATCTGTCCATTCAGTTGACTGATTGTTTCCAAACTCTGGTGACAGTTTCTGTTTTCTGGAGTAATTGAGGGACGGGAAAATGTTTTTGCATACTTCTTTGTGAGTATGTGCACAGCCAAACGGCATTAGGTTTTTCCATCTCTTTCCCTTGCTGGCTTCGTGGGTGTCTGTCTGCATGTCTTGTGCATGTCCTCTCCCACCTCGGCCCTTCTTGTGTCCTTGTAGAGGGTCTCCGCCTGCTTCATTCTCTTCTTCCCTCTATCCTTCCCAGAGCCAAGCCATGCGAATCGTCCGGACGGTGGGGCAGGCCTTCGAGGTCTGCCACAAGCTGAGCCTGCAGCACACACAGCAGAATGCTGACGGTCAAGAAGACGGGGAGAGTGAGAGGAACAGCTGCAGCTCGGGAGGCCCAGGTAGGCACGGGCACCGCCGTGGACGCGGGTGGGCAGGCCGGCAGACGCGCGGTGCGGGCGGCGGGCCGTGCCCCGAGCCCAGAGCGGCCGCTGCGCCTGAAACGCATGTGCTCTGTTTCTCTCTAGATTCTGACTTTTCTTTAAAGACTGTGTCTTACTTTTAAAACAGAAAATTAAAGATGTTTAAGCTATCAAACACAGAAGCATTTCAACTGGATATCAGGAAACACATTTTAATGGCAGAGCTGCTTGTAGTACCGAATCAGATCCCGAAGAAAATTTTCGTACAAAATCACCTTCGTAAAACAAATAAGATAATTTTCATTTATCTAAGTAGTTCTTTTTTTTTTTTCCTATTTCTAAATTCTGTAGTTCTGTAAACCCTCGGGGTAGACATTATTCTAGTATCTCCAGCCTCCACATCTCATTAAAAGTCAGGAACAAGATCAAGCTGTCCTTTATCATCTCTCTAACACTAAATGTGGGAGCAAGAAGTATAAGTATTAGGTAAAAAGTTAATATTGTTTATATTTTTATGTGGGAAGCCCATGAAAATAAGCTGAAAGCTGTTAGAAATAAGAGAATTTAGAGGTAAGGTCCAGTAAATACATATAGATAGCTGTGGTTTCCTGTTCCAGCATCAACCAATTGGAAGTCATAGTGGAAGAAAATATCCACTGAAATAACTTTTTTTATCTTTAAAAACTATTTTTATCTTTAAAAACTTTTTTATCTTTAAAAAAGATTAAATGCCTGAATAATCATAATAAAATATATATGTTTATATTAAGAAAATCAGTTGGAAAGTTCTTGGTTGGGAAATCTCAGCATCATACAAATGTTAATTCTCCTTATGTTAATCTATAAATTTAACATTACAATACAAATTTTTATCAGCAAAGTAGGCACCTTGGTAAAAACTATAGGCTACAGATAAAAAGAGTGCTCAGAGGAAAATCAAAGGTTTAATTATTTATAGTGATAGATGATCAATCATGAAAATCAAATTAATTAAACATTCAATTCAAGAAGTTAGAAAATGGCAAAAGAAGTCTCCCATTGCAAAAGGCAGTTTTGCTAAGTGATGAGGGGTAGAGATTTTCAGTTTCCATTCAAGTTGCACTGGTCACTAGCTGTGTGATTTTGGGCAAATTCCATAACCTCTCTGTGCCTTGGTTTCCTCTTCTGGAAAAAGTAGGAATAGCAGTAGTATCTTCCTCATAGAGTTACTGTGTTGATTGGATAAACAGATATATTTAAAATGCCAAATCTGGTACTTGGCACATGGTAAACACCAAATACATGTTATCTATTATTATTTTTAAAAATGGGAAAAAGCAGGAATAGGATAAATCCCAGAAAAGATGAGTGATGACAGAGGAGTGACTTTGCAGTCACTCCTGGAAAGTATGTTTCTTCCACAAAAACATACTGTAACGCTGTAAAACTGTGCTGATGCATTAGTAAGTGTCTGAGTGGATTGGAATAGAAAGCCCAGAGATAAACGCAGACACACATGTTGACATAGTGTGTGGTAAGGGTAGAAACCCTATGGAGAAAAATATGGAAATCATTAAATTTAAAATTTCACATGCTCTGACCCCCAAATCACCCTCAAATTCTCTTCTAAGAATTCCTCTTAAGGGTACACCCATACATATGTAAAATGATGCATACATAAAGTTATAAAAACTGGAACTAGCAAGAGGGGATTTTATAATAATTTGTGGTTACAAGTAATGGAGTATTGCAGAACCTCTAAAAAGGATGAATTGGTTCTCTGTGAACTGACAAAAAATCATCTCCAAGATATTTTGCTGAGTTTTTAAAAAACAAGATGTAGAACTGTGAATTGGTAGCATTCCAATTATATTGTATAAAAATATATACATGTAAATATGTGCTTTCATATATGCCCACTATGCATAGAACATCTCCAGAATTAGTAGCTGTGGTTCATTCTGGAATAGGGAACTAAGTGTCTATACTGGGAGGAAGATTTTACTTTTCATTCTTGCAGACCTATAGCTGGCCCCATTGCTCAGAGAACAAAACCTGATCTGCTCACTTCTGAACTGGAGGATTTGCCCTCGGAGCTGCTGGCAGGAATAGACTGATGCCTTTACATTATTAACTCTTCTCTGTTCCTTCTCAGCTCCCTTGGTCACGGCTACACCTCAAAGGCTTCTGAACCCACAATACAACTGGCAGCCAGGATGCACATATACGGAGATATTCTAACCGAAAAGTAAAGGGCATTGTCTCTGGTGAAGCCACTTATTCCTTGAGTGAAAGAGGTTGGACACAGAGAAGTTATCTAGAGGTTGAGTGTTTGAACTTTGTTCTTATCACACAACTGTCTGAGGAGCTTGAGCTAGCCTCTAAGTACCTAATCAGAACCGACTTCTCGGCCACTTGCTAAAGACGGCAGGATGGCCTGGCTTGGCCTTTTGAAGAGAAAAGCGTTTCAAGGGGACTACTCTGAGAGCTAGGTTGTCTTTCCCTCCTGCTGTGGAAGCTACTGTTTCCTTCCCCTTCCAGACCCTGCAGGGCTCTTTTGGGTGGGGGGTAGGTTGATACGATTTCCTGTGATACCAGGAAGGATTCTCTTTGGGGAGTGAATAGAGGTTCCACTAGGGACCCCTTCCTATCATTTTTCTTTCTCACCTTCCCCCTACTCCTCCCCCAGCACCTCCCTCCCGTTTTCAGTGCTATTCCGACTGTCAGCGTTTGCTGCATTCACCTCCAGGCAGACATTCTAGTTGTTCTTCACTGTCCTGTCTTCTGGGAAGGCTGCCTTCCAGCTCCCACTGTCCCATTCCCTTTCCTGCCCCTTCCCAGAAATTTAAACACCTCCTCCCTCTAGGTTTGTATGTTCTTTTCACCCTTGGCTGGTGCTGCTGCCATCAGCATTTAGCCCACTGTCTACCAGATACAGTGTCATCTATCTTCAGTAGAGGACAAGCTCTAGGGTGAGGGGGCGGGGAAATGACTATTCCTCACCCAATAAATACTTGTTGAATAAAGTGATGGCCGTGGTCAATGATTGTGGCAAAGGATGTGTGTCATCTTAGTCATTGTCAGCAGCATTTATTCATTGTTTACTTTGCGCCAAGATGAATGTGAAGATTGAGTAGAAATTTCAGCAGGGAGTGACTTCTTAACAGTCTGCTTGATGAAGAAGGATGACCTTGAATGGCAGGAGTAGGTAGTGTGTTTTTATGTGTGTGTGTTTGTGTGTGTTCAGTCAGTCATGTCCAACTCTTTGCAACCCTATGGACTATAGCCCGCCAGGCTCCTCTGTCCGTGACATTTTCCCAGAAAGAATTCTGGAGTGGGTTGACATTTTCTCCTTCAAGGAATCTTCCTCACCCAGGGATCGAACCTGCATCTCCTGCATCCCCTGTATTGGTAGGGGGCTTCTTTACCACTGAGCCACCTGGGAAGTCTGGGAGTAGGTGGCATTGAGGTCATATGGCCTAGAGGGGGAGACTCGAAGGCTGGAGGCAGTGCTGAGGGTGATGAGTGACGGTGCTTGAGGCTGCAGGTAGAGACCAGCATGGTAACACTCTTCTGGCTGTGACAGGTGGTCAGCGTTGAGATATTGGGCCCATCAGCTACATGTCCCTCTCCTTTTATAACCTTTTTGGTGGTTTGTTTGTTGTTGTTTTTTTTTTCAAATTACAGTAGTATACATGAGACTTCAGCTACTTGGCATCTTCTGTATACCATTCTCCTAAGAAGAATGTAACTGACGTTCTACATGTGGAAACATCTAGGTTCATTTTAGGAAAACCTGTCAGGCTGTTAAGATGTTGAAGCACTGAGGGTGTCTCTTTAAGGAGGTTGAGCATGGCTTGCATGTGACACTTTGTGTATCATACATCCCTGCAGAGAAAGGGAAGTAGTGGGGCCCTGCCCAACTTGCATAAGTGACAGTCTGGCCTGTGGAGTGATGTGAATTGTCTTAGGGAGATACACACACACGTACTAATTATAAGGAATTGGCTCACATGATTACGGAGGTGTGGTGAGTCCAAAATCTGCAGGGTGGGCTCCAGGCTGAAAACCCAGAAAAGAGTTGCAGTTCAAATCTTAAAGTGGTCTGCTGGCACAATTCCCTCTTCTTCCAAGGAGGTGTCTTTGTTTTGTTAAGACTTTCAACTGATTGGATGAAGCCCAGCTATATTATGGAGGGTAATCTGCTTTATTCAATCTATTGATTTAAATGTTTACTCTCATATGAAAAATACCTTCACCACAATATCTAGAATAGTGTTTGGTCAAGTATCGACACCATGGCTCCACCAAATTTGCCCACAAAATTAACTGTCACAGAAATGAAAAGGCCATGTGGTGTGACAGACGGAGTGCTGGACCCGCAGACTAGAGAAGCAGCAGAGAGCTTGGGTTCTGGCACTTTTCAGATGAATTCAAGGCTTGAATGCTAGCTCTTTGAATGTGTTCAGCTCTTTGCAACCCCATGGACTGCAGCACTCCAGCCTTCCCTGTCCATCACCAACTCCTGGATCTTGCTCAAACTCATGTCCATCCAGTCAGTGATACCATCCAGCCATCTCATCCTCTGTTGTCCCCTTCTCCTTCTGCCTTCAATCTTTCCTAACATCAGGTCTTTTCTAATGAGTCAGTTCTTCGCATTAGATGGCCAAAGTATTGGAGCTTCAGCTTCAGCATCAGTCCTTCCAATGAATATTCAGGACTGATTTCCTTTAGGATTGATTAGTTTGACCTCCTTGCAGTCCAAGAGACTGTCAAGGGTCTTCTTCAACACCACAGTTCAAAAGCATCAATTCTTCCGTGCTCAACTTTCTTTATGGTCCAACTCTCACATTCATATGACTACTGGAAAAACCATAGCTTTCACTATATGGACCTTTGTCAGTAAAGTAATATCTCTGATTTTTACTATGCTGTCTAAGGAGCTTTACTTTTCTTTCAAGGAGCATACATCTTTGAATTTCATGGCTGCAGTCACTATC